CTTCATTATGATCTAAGCATAGAGCTTCTAAATGATCCAGTTCAAACATAGGCCAATGCCAGCAGAGAGTGCTGAGGATGGGAGATTTCTGATTTCTGGGCCCTGTGGACCCACTCCAGGGGGTCTGGGGGAGACAGCCCAGCTATGATCCCTCTGGCTGGGAGGCTTACCTGAGCCGCCCCATCAGAGAGCCTGGTCTCCATGCTGAAATCTGTTTGCTTGGCCAGCAGCCCTTGGGAGTTAATATTTCTCTGTGTGTGTTTAGGAATTAATTTCTACTAAACTTAATCACCCCCTCTCCCCTACCCTCTCCCTCAACCCCCTTCCTTCTCCATTCCTTTCCCTTCTAATTTTCCACTTGGCTGGGAATTCTCCAGCAGTGAAAGTTCAGGCTTAGGGGAGGGCGGAGGTAACTGCTTCATTAGAGAGGATAATCTCATTGGAACCACTGGCTTGAATAATAACCCCTTGCAGGGGCCCAGGGCCTTTCTCCCTAGAGCTCACAGAACCTCTGGTCTAGGGCTGTATGGGCCCAGTGCACAGGAAGTGGGGTGAGAAAGGGAAGAAAGGCAGCTCAGCAAAGAAGACCTTAACTCACGGGCTGAGGGAGGTGGGTCCCCTTGGGGCCTGCTGGTCACCTGCGTATCTGTGTTTGGGGCAGAGGCCACTGTGGGGATGACAGAGACAAATGCCTGAAAACTCATGCCTTTTTGTGAGCCTACATAAGCACCCATTCCCCGACCTAGGAAGTGGATGAAATGGATGAAGACGGACCCTGCTGCCTCTACTGCCCGGTGGAGAGCGCTGCTTTCCCAAGTACTGGAGCCCTTGGTGGGAAGCAATCCAGGGGCTCTTCTAGGACCAGAAATGAGCCCTGTTTATATTCTCTAACTCTGGCATGAGCCACTTGAAAACCACATTCTCAAAAGGCTAAAGACTGTTATCTTGATGGACCCCATAAGACACAGAAGTCGTGGCCCTTCCCTGCCATCATCCCGTCCCATTTAAGGTCAGTTGTCTGTGGTTTTGGACATTCGCAGCCTCCACACTCCTGAACCATGCAGGATGCTAGAAATGTCAAAACATCCCTGGTTCTGACCTTAAACTTAACCTTCCAATGAGACAGAGCTCAGTTCTGGACACACTTTCGCCAGCTGTTAAGGAAAGGACGCTCTAACCACCCCACCGGTAGGCAGCATGCTGTCACTGTCCTGCCCTTCCTGGTGCTGAGCCTCCCTGGGCCTTTAGCCCTTCTTCCTTTGATGTGCCAAGGAACCGGTCCACAGCAGCTGCAGTTTAGGGCCGTGGGCTGAGGAAGTTAGGGGAGTGGTGGGGTGACACTGGCTGACACTGTTGACACCCCTCTCTAAGCTATGCACAGTTCTAACTGCTTAGCACACACTGTCTCGTGGAATCTTCAGGAAACTCCAGCTGTGTGATACCACGTTGTTCCCATTTTATAGAAGAAAAGACTGACACACCAAGAGATTAAGCATTTGGCCTAGATGCTCAAAGCTGTAAATCACACGTGGCTTCTTGTATCCTGTATTTTCTAGGACTGTGGTGAGATGCAGCCCTAGGAATCTGGGTAACAGCAAACAGCCCAAGTCAGATGTGTTCCCACCTATGCCTCCTCCCCCAACCTGGGAGAGAGAGAGAGCTCTGTTCTATTTAGTAACTTCCGGTGCTGTTTGGCCTGGAAGCAGCTTCACCCCTGCCCCCCCCTTCATAATTTAATCAAAGACACTCTTTTTAGACCTACTGATTGCTCTTGGAAATAGGAACTTCAAAGTTGGGGAGTCAGTGAATAATTGAAGCTGTACCAGTTCTCTGGGTCCACTGTTAATGGGCGTAATAACACTATTAATAGCGATGTCAGCTCAGACACTCTGGAAAAGTCCATAATATTAGCCTAATGGCTGACGGTAATGGAGTCCTTGCCGAGGAGCTGGCCTGGTAAATTAACTCCCAAGACTTAGAGGCAGACACTCTGGTTGCCAGTGGTTTGCTCGAGCCGCCAGAGAATGCCATGGGGACCCCCAGACTTACTCCTGACCTCATCCTTCTGGCTTGGGGTCCCTTGAATTCATCCCAGGGAGTTCAGGTTTGTCCAACAACTATGGATGATAGTCGGGTGCTTTCTTCTGAGCCTAGGAGGAGTGGTGGAGAGGCAATGTCTAGATAGAGCCTTAAGGACGTAAGAGAAGCATTAAGACCTCTCTTCTCAATGTTTCATCTCTTGAGAAGCTCCCACTCAGTAGGAGAGGGTTACTTTTAGCCCAATAACCATCATAAAACAAGAAGTTCTAGCTGGGCAGTGGTGGCGCACGCCTTTAATCCCAGCACTCAGGAGGCAGAGCCAGGCGGATCTCTGTGAGTTTGAGGCTAGCCTGGTCTACAGAGCAAGTTCCAGAAGAGGTGCAAAGCTACACAGAGAAACCCTGTCTCGAAAAACCAAAAAAAAAAAAAAAACAAGAATTTCTAGACTGTGAGAAACTCCAGGATGCTATGGAGGAAATAAGGAGGAATTTCATATCTGCCTGGGGTTGAGGCAGGAGGACTGCAGTTACAAAACAGCTAAACTAGTCTGTCTGTAGATCTAGATGGAATTGGACAGGAATTAGACAGACACGGAAACCCGGACAGACCTGGGTGTACAAAAGCAATACAATATGTATCATGTAGTGTACACATACATGGGGAGAAGTGAGGTTTGCAAAAAAAGGGGGTGGAGGGTGTCAGAGGCTGTGGATGAGCAGAGAGTAGACTGGACAAGACTGTGTGACTCCTCGGGTGCCTCTGAAGGTGAGGGGAATTGCTGCCTTTTCCAAAGCTGAGCATGATAGAAGCTTGAAGAGGAAGGGAAGTGAGCACTTTAGGCCCAAGGCCCAAATTCAGACAGGCCCAAGAGCTTCTGGGTATGGCAGTCCCTTTCTGGGCCATTGATGATCCTTGTGTGTCCTTCCCAGGTGCACCCGGAAGGAACGGTGTGAGCGCTCCAGGGAACCCCGAAGGTTTGCCTCAGAGATGAAGCAGTGTGTCCGGCTGACAGTCCATCCCAACAACATCTCTGTCTCTCAGTACAATGTGCTGGTAAGGGAGGGGAGGTCAGAATCCAGGGAAGAACTCTGCCCCAACAGAAAGCACCAAGGCCTCTTGGGAGCAGCTCTAGGTCAGGGTCGGAGATGTTAGTGAAGGAAGTGTCTACTGGGAACCCAAGAAAGGTGGCATGGGCAAGAATAGTGAAGAAAAGGTTCCACTTCCACAAGGAAGTGACCATATCAAAGGTGATCAAGGAACGCAAATTAAGGCCACACTGAAATTCCATCTCACTCCAGTCAGTATGGCAGTCGTTAAGAAAACAAATAAAAACAAAATGCTGGTAGCAATTCAAGCTAGTCTAGGTGCTATGGAAACGAGTGCAGAGGTTCCTAAAAAAAAAAAAAAAAAAAAAAAAAAAAGCAGACCCTCCCATATGACCCAGATATAGTACTCACTCCTATGTGATACTTGAACACTGATGTTTCCAGTCATAAAGAAGAGCAAATCCATGCCATTTGCTGAAAAATGGGTGCAACAAGATACTATTAACTGAATTTAGATCTGTCTCAGAGAGACAAATACCATGTTTCTCTCATTTGTGGGTCCTAGATTTTATAGAGACATAAAATCATATATTTATATATGACATAAAAGTGGGAGCTATAAAAAGAGGGGAAGTGGGACTAACCAGAGAGTGAGAGATGGAAATGGGGAGAGTGGTGGAGCGTGGGGGATATGCTCAAAATATATATTTGCAGGAAAATAGCATTATATTACCAAACATAAAAAAGCATAATATTTTATTATAACCTAAAATATGCCATGGGTGTGCCTAAATATCCATAGCCACTTTGGGATTAATTGGCATGCAAGTAAATACAGAATGATAGACTAAGACCATGCAGCAATGAGTGTTGGGAATGATCCCTTTATCTACAAAGGAGGCCAATGTGGGTCCATCAGGAGAATGATTTACAGACTTCTGAGTTCTAGCACTAAGCATGTGGTCATTAGTGTTCTCATTTTACCAAATGGAAGAGGTGGCCTATCAGCCAACCTGGTCCTGCTCAGAATTCTTCTAGCACACAAATCCCCTAAGCATTCCCGCTTTCTGGGGCCAAATCCATTCAGATCCTAGTGGGTTTCTTTAGTCTCTGCCTCTGCCTCCCACTGCCTTCTCTACACCACTCTTGTAACAAACTGATCTATGGTAATAATTCTCCTTTGTCTGTCTCTTTCTCGGCCTGCTGCCTTTCTTCCTTCTGTTCCCCATTCCCCCTCCTCTCCTCTTTCCCCCTGCCTGGCTGGCCTGTTCACAGCTGGTTCTAGAGACATACAATGTCCCGGAGCTGTCAGCAGGTGTCAACTGTACCTTTGAGGATCTGTCAGAGATGGATGGGCTGGTAATAGGCAATCAGATCCAGTGCTACTCCCCTGCAGCCAAGGAGGTGCCCCGCATCATCACAGAAAATGGTGAGCAAGCGGTCCCAGGAGGCAAAGTTGGATGGCAGACTCTTCACTGTGCCTGGGTAGCAGAACTCATGACAGATGTGGGGGATTGAGGGAGCCTAGGGGCAGGGATAAGTCCAAGGGAGTGGGCTGACGGTTGAAAGGGGTAGAGGTGAGCTTTTCCTCTTTTACCCTTGGAAACTGACTGCTACTACCCTTCTGTCTCAGCCCCAGCTTAGCAACCGACCGTCTACCTCATCCTAGATGAGGAGAAGTGACAGAGACGGTAGATAGAGGCCAGGCCAGAAGAGCAGTGGTGTATATTGGTGGTGTTCTTGTTTCAGCTGCCTTGGGGGGCGGGGACTGGGGAAGAGGGATGCTAGCCAGAAGCAAGGGTGTGATGGGGCAGGTCCAGTGGTTCCATAACCCTTCGTTCACAGTCACATGATTAGGTCCCTGACTCTAGAGCACTTTGTCCCCCACACACAGCTGCCTGTTGCTTGGAACCAACTCTGTTGGGAAGGATATGAGTAGACACAGGCTTGACACTGGTGAGGGACAGGCTGGCCTAGGCAGATTGATTCCGTGTTGTCCCTCCCATTTGGGCTTGTCACATTTATTCAGAGCTGATTGATTAATGAGGCTCCCGGGGAAGGCAGAGAACAAGGCTGGAAGTGGGGTCCAGGGTCAGGGCTGTGAATTAAACATGGGCTCCAATGCCTCTGTGGCGCCAGCTGAGGGGTCTTATACCCCTCACCCCTCTGGAGCCAAGTCCCCCAGAGGAAATAGTATCAGGCCTAGGTCTCTCTGCACAGAGGTCAGGTGCACATATTTACACATATATGCAGTGCCACTTTGTGCCACGGGCAACAGCTTTCCTTGGATCGTACATTTTTTTTCCTCCTTGGCTACTCATCACTGTTTGTGATTCTGAGAGGCATTTAGACACAGCATGTGAGTGTGTGTGTGCCCATGAGCTCAAGATAAGTGACTGGGGGTCCAGTGACATAACAGAGAAGAGACACCAAACATAACTTGTGGGGGGCGGGCGTGGGGAGCGGGGTAGGTTCATCCTGGAATTGAACCTTGCTGACTCGGGGGCCTAGGAAGCCTGACAGTGTCCCAGAGGAGCAGGCTCTCTTTCCTAGAGTGCATTTCTGCTCTCGGGCCTTTGGCTTGGGTCCTGAACTTCCCCGGGCCCCGATGGTGGGCTCTACCTTATAGGAGACCATCATGTCGTCCAGCTGCAACTCAAGTCAAAGGAGACGGGCGTGACCTTCGCCAGCACCAGCTTTGTCTTCTACAACTGCAGCGTCCACAACTCGTAAGTGCCCTGGCTCTTCTCAGCCTGCTGTCCCTAAGGCCAAGGCTCACTCAGAGATCAGAAGACCCCGCGACAATTTCAAGGGATCATTGTACGGAGGCTTCCAAGGAGGCCTCCTTAATGCTAGAAGAAGGGCCTCTCTCCTGTACTGATAGGGTGAATGGAAAGAGCCTAGAAAAAGACAAAAGTGAGAGCCTATGGTGTGAGCCCTGCAAACCCCTAGCCTGTGCATCTTCCCTGGCAGAAGTCTGATTCCCTTCCCACCATTCTGCTAGGGGTGATGTAGCTCACCTGAAGGACAGCAGTTCACACCTACACAGAGGAGGGACCAGAGAAGGGAGGGCAGCCTTTACACGTATCCAGGAGAGGTCAGGTGGTTGAGCAAGTCAACTAAATGCCCCACCCTATAAACTGGGTCAGGACTCACATAGACTGATAAGTGCAAAAGGAAAGTCAAAAGAGAGAGCGGCTGAGGCCCTGCTATGGAGATACAGAAACCCGACTCTGGCTTTGTTTGGCTTTGGCATCTCCCACCTCTAAATAGTAATCATGGGCAGCAGATTAGCTGGAGGATTTGACCATTCTGTGCACTAGTGTCCTCTATAAAAGGAGACCTAAAGGTACTGGCACCACAATAGTTAGTGACTGGCCTGTGTTAGTTAATTTCCTAATCGCTGTGACAGAATACTTGGTGAAAGTCATCTAGGGGAGGGAAAGTTGACTATGGCTCATGATTCACAGCATACAGCCCATCATGGTGGGGACATCATGGCGGTTTGTCTGCAGCAGTGAGAGCTTGTAGAATGGCTTCTTGCATCTTGGCAAGCCAGAAAGCAGAACAGTCAGGCCAAAACCAGAAGTGGGCATCTTCAAGGCCTGTTTCCGGTGACCCTTTTCTGCTACCTAGGTCACAGTCCCTGAGATTGCACAAATTTCCCAAAACAGTACCACCAACCAGGGACCGAGAGTTCAAGCAGAGGATCCTGTGGGGACATTTCACATTCGAATTGCAACATGACACCCCAGGAGCACTGTCCTATCGGAGCAGTCCCTGGTTGGGACACTGCTGTTGCTGACTGTACAGCAGACTTGACTCTCACAGGATGGCTCTAAGGCGGAAAAGCCATTGCAAGGCAACCTTTAGAAGCCCATGTGGCTCGTTGACTAGGTAGTACTCTTGCCTTTTCCTACGGCTATGTTGCTATTTCCTCCATGAAAGGATGAGATTGAACCAGATTGGAGATGTACAATTTTAATTTTCCTTACCATAGAAACTAAAATTAGGTATGGAAGTCCAGTATGCAGAACAGATGGAAGAAGAGGCTGTTTATTGGGGGAATTATGAGGCCAGGAGCCCCTCTATCTAGGAGCCCCATGAGACTGTATATAGTCTCCAAAGGACCTCTGTAGAACCTTTAGGATTCCATAGAGAGAGTTTGGAAAACACATGGCCTGAACCTCCAACATTCCTGTTTGCTTTAACATACTGTTATCATTCCTCTCTTTACAGGGTAGGTATGTAACATGACATTTAGGGGACTCTAATATGATAAAAAAAAACGTTAAGGGTCATGTAGGGTGTCTGTGAGACTAGAGCTTAGCTTACTTTGGGACCTCAAGGAAGGAAGCATCTATCCTGCCCAGCCAGAGCTGGCTGCTTCAATATCAGAATTACTTCTTGTCATTGAGTTGCCTATGACCTCACCTCTGAGTGGCATATTCCCTTCCTCCCTTATTGCCCCTAGAAAAGCAGAGTAAGAAATTCAATTAGGTGTGATGTTTCCATCTCATCTACAGTGTTACTCATCAGATAGAGGATTCACAAATTAATAAGACCCCAGCACTCAGGCCCTGCCCTCCACTGGAACCAATACCTGCCCAATTGCTTGGTCGAGGTTTGCAGCCTAGTAGCCTCATGGAAGAACTTGATGTTTAATGATGAAATAGAACACCAAGCAGTTAGGAGTATCCCTGCACAGAGGTTTACAAAGTGAGGGCCCAGAGGGACCAACTCTCCTTTGGCCAAAGATTGGTCAAGTGGAGGAAAACAGAAAGCTCTGACAGATGGTAGAACAGCCTGTGGAGAGCATGAGGCCTGCTCAAGGTAGCAGCACCAGACCCTTGTGAGAAGGGTGGCGCTCGGGGCAGCTCTGCCTGTGTGGCAAGGCCTTTGAGCTTGTGACAATAGGGAACCATGTTGGGTTTTTAAGCAACATAAGGTTGGCTCTTACAAAGTTGCCTATTTCCTGAAGGTAAAGGGTGGGGTTGGCAACTGTGCCAGGACACACAGTGTGGAGACTGGAACCTTGATAGCTTCCATTGTTATCAGAGCATCATTGGTGCATGCCCTTACCAGTAAGACTTGGAGGCAATCTGAATTAAAACCCGATTTGGGGGTTGTCTTAGTTCCTATAGACTCCAATCTTTATTGATCTCCTATTTAGCAAAGGACCATGTTGACCAATGGAGGTAGAGGGAGGCTCACCAGGCCTTGGAGGAAATGGGTTCCAGCTCTGAGTGAGGAGCTCATTCCCTGAGGCCTTGAGAAGAGAAGTGTGGATTTGTATGAGGTCTGCCTTTGCTCATCATTCAAGGGTTATCTCCCTTTCTAGCAAAATGTTCTGCTAGAGTCTAGAGATGTGGGTGCTTGGGCTGAAGTTCTAAGATGTGTGCTTCTCCTCTGTGCCCAGATGTCTGTCCTGCGTGGAGAGCCCATACCGCTGCCACTGGTGTAAATACCGACACGTTTGCACCCACGATCCCAACACATGCTCCTTCCAGGAAGGCCGAGTGAAGCTGCCCGAGGTAGGTCCCAGCAGCGCGATGGTGAGAGGCGCTGCTTGTAAGCACAGAACACATGTGTGGCCCTTCTCTTGAGAGGGAAAACCAAGAAAAGATCCCAGATTTCTTCTTTCCTCCCTAACCTTGACTCTTCAGGCACACTGTATGAAAGTATGAAAGCAGTAGATGAGCTCAGCTCTGCATTGACGCCATGGTTCTGGCTCAGCTGGGAGGTTCAGGTACAAATGTGTGAGTGTAAGTATGTATGTGTGAGTTCTTACCTTTGTCTAATATAAATGGAATTAACATGAAGAGTCAGGCAGCCAGTGGGCCACTGTGGCATGAAAAGCTGGAAAAGGCTGATAGTCTCATCTACATGGCTGGGTCTTGATCTTGAGGACAGGGGCAGAAGGGTAGATCGACCCCCTTAAGGTCAGGGGTCAAGGCTCCAGGAAACGCCCATCTGAAATCTGCCCGGAACATGATAGAAGTCAGACAAAGTGACTTTCAGGGTTTCTCCTGCTCTCAGAATAGTGAACCTGACCAAGGTTTGGCAACAGAAAGGCCCAAGACAGACAGAGAACAAAAGCAATGGACTTTGGGGGTTGCAAACGCCTCCCACTGCTCCCTTACCTCGGAGGAGGCTTGCAATTGCTTCGCTATCTTGCTCGTTTTCTTTCCTGTTCTCTTGTGGCAAGGTTGCCTTCGATGCTTAGAAAGAAAGGTTAAAAGAACCAAAAGAGAGCAAAGTGAGAGCTAGCAGGTTTCCCAGAACAATGGTGGGCTGTCTGTGAGAGATGGTGCTTCCAAGTACAAGGCCTGTTCAGGCCTGGCTTTGTCAGAATCTGCTGGGGATCCATGGCTGCTCCGGGGACTGGATAGCAGGCTCCTGAGAAAGGAACAGGCTTTGAGGACCATGGCTAACTACAAGGGCATGGAGACAGATCCAGCCATTGTCATTGCCCTTCAATTCTTTCTGTTTTCCATAAGCTGGGCGTGGTAACCAAGCCCCTGGAGTCTGAGAGGCCAGTGTAACTCAGAATCTTCATTTCTCCCTACTACAGTATCACATGGGATGAACTTGGGCTCTTCTTTGTCTTAGATTTCTGCTTATTTTAAGAGAAAGAATTTCTAAGAGTTTGTTTCTGGTCCCAGGGCCATTTTGAAATGAGCATAGAGGAAGAGGCTAAGTTGATTACCTTATGCGGTTGCTGTGGCAACATCTTCCTAGTGGATGTACCTAACAGGAACTAAGCAAATAAACATTTGTGAACTATTGACTAAGTCTAGCTTTTTGGGTTCAGTGAGAGAAGACCATTGTTTCCAGAACTCAAAACAGAATCTCTGCCTCCTAGTGTAAATGTAGCATTTTTTAAAAAGCCATTGGCTTTTTGTTTGTTTGTTTTCCAACACAACTATAGCAGGAATAAAAGGATACAAAGGGAAAGTATGCAACAGAAAGAGAGCTTGGTCATTGGTGTTTTTTATCCAATGCCAGAGAAGTTATTCACAGCTAGCCATCTAAACTTCTGCTGTTGTGATGGTTGGCTTTCTGATGTTATTGCAAATGCCTGAGATAAAACAACTTAAAAAGAGGCAAAGTTGGTGCAGAAAGACTTCAAAAGCCAAAGGACTGGGAAGTTTGCTGTGAGACGGTCTCCTAGGAAAGTCAGAAACTTCTCCCAGAGTGTCACCAACATGACTGCCTAGACATGAGCTGAACAAGGACAGCAGACATGCCAAAGTGGATGGGGATAAACCTACTCCTGAGGCCTCAACCCCACACAAAGAATTACAGACAACCAAGGAACGCTGAGAGTGGGAGAAAGAATCTCCCCCGGAAGAGCACACCAATTGGTTTTCCAGTGCCGAAAGGTCAGCCCTGAAAACACACATGAGTAACATATTCAGACCGAGCACGTTATATTAAGGAAAATTTATATGCATGTAACAACAATTAATGAAAAAAAGCCATGAACTTGAAAGAGAGCAAGGAAGGGGTATTTTGAGGACTTGGAGAGAGGAAAGGGAAGGGGGAAATGATATAGTTAAGATATATTATAATCTAAAAAAATAAAAATAAAAGAAAAAATTAAAAACAACCAAAACAAGAGCAAAGGTCTATTTTGGCCCATGGTTTTGGAGTTTTTAATCTATGTTTGGAAGGACCTGTTTCCTTTCAGACCTGCTGGAAGGCACCTTACTTCATGACGGTCAAAGAGTTAAAAAAAGAAAAGAAAGAAAAGAAAAGAAATGGACCAAGCCCCACAATTCCCTTCAAGGACACACCCCCAGTGACCTAAGACTTTCCAGTAAAACCTCCCTTCAAGTTCCCACTGCCAGCTCCCTGTAGCATCATTCTGGGGAATAAGCCTTAAGAACATAGGCTTTAGTGGGGCATTCCAGCCCCAGCCTACAGCGGCTGTGAAGCCAGTTATCTCACGGTGCCCTAGAGCCTTTGTGCTTAAGTTTCTGAGGCTTAAAAGCATATAATGAGATCTTCAGATCTGCATTTGATAGGACACCACTGGCCTACACGACCTCTAGGTTTCCGTACTTGCAGATAAATACGAGCTTGAGTGCACTTAAGAGAAATCACAGCCAAGAACTGTTCTCACAGGGCAAGGGTGCAATGAATGTTCTTATAGAATGAGTACCCAGTCAATGTCCAGTCAAGGCTTAGAGCTCCAAATGGCATCTGACTGGGTGTCTCCTGGTCTTAGAGCCTGAAGTTCCTCTAGACACCTGGGCCCAGACTCTCTGGGAATGCTGGTGAGGCTCAGACCACAGTGATTCTTCTCAAAGCCCTCAGGTTCACACTCCCCTTTACCCGTGAGGCTATGCAGAGAGGGTCCTTTTGTTTAGCCACGAGGGAGGCTGCCAGGTGGCTTTTCATCTGGGCTGCCCCATCTTGTATCCCCAGGAATGCTTTCATCCTGCCTCTTCCAGTTTCAACCCTGGCTTCCCTGGCTATCACCAGGGGTGTTGAATTACTTCTTTCCCTCGGAACAAAGAGCACGTTCAGGCGAAGTTATTGGTCTGGAATGGCGAACTGGTGGACCATTGTAGTTGTGTTATGAACAGCAAGTATTCAGGCATAATTACAATGATTAGAAATAGAATGCCCAGTAACATATGTCGTTTATAGTAACTATATCCCAGTTACAAGGGATGGTTTTGTTTCAACTAATGATGGCATTGTGATAACAACGTAGACCCTTAGATCGGCTGCCAGAACCTGGGCGCAGATAGAAAGGGAGAGGAGAGATGAGGTGACAGCATGCTAGGGTGGCCATGTCTCCCTGCTTGCCCCAGTCCTCCTCCCTTAGTGTCCACAAGGCTTCCTGCCATCTCCTGGAATGGCCTTTCGGCTGGACAGCCATTAGCAGAGCGGCAGGAGCCCCTGTCCTTGTGTGCACCGCACAGAGTTGCTGGCTCCTCCACAGCCTCACCTGAACAGATCCATCTAGCCAACACCCTTGGTAGCGATGATTAAGACGAGCTGCTATAGAGAACACATCCACTGGCAAGAGGTGGTCCACAATGAGCTGTTGCACTGTGGGTTCTCATCGGAGCTGAAAAATCAAAGTGAACCACCGCTGAAGCTGTGCTCTCCAGGCACCAAGCTAGGAAAGTTACAGATACATGGGTGGTTCCCAGGGGAACGATCTCAGAAGGGAGGTTCTGGACACTCCTCCTCCTCCTCACGTTTAGCCAGTGTGCTCACTCCAGAGAACGGTAGTAAGATCAGAGGAGGAGAAATGCATTCTATTTGATCTGCAATGGTGTCCTTGAAAGGTTCTCCCAACATCCGCTGCTACCCTGATGCCTCCAAGATGTCCTACACTAGGACAGACATGATGAACTCTGGGACTCTAAAGGTCAAGTTCAAGCTAGAACTTCAGAACCAGAAAGGAAGAATCCTAGACTGCTGCTTGTCCCTGGTTCTGAATGAAATCCACCCTTAGAGATAAAGGCCAAAGGCATTTATCCCAGGCTTGATTTTGGAGAGAAATTAGGCTATCCCCACCGTCAGTGATTCTGCTTTAATTCCTAGGACCCACTCCCACTATGCCTTTAACCCTCCCCTGAGAAAACAAAGCCAAACCCAGCTCAAAAACTTGTTTCCAACCCATGCACACATCCCCCTTTCAGGTATTCAATTACTGGGCTGCCATTTCTCCAGACAACTGCACTTTCCATCAATCTCACCTGCCCCTCCCCCTTGGGGTTATGGGTATTTCCTTTCTGTATTATTACTTCGCTCTCTCCATAAACCAGCCCATCGTAGATCATGCTAATGGCATTATAAACTTGGGGAACAGCAAGAAAATATATGATGCATTACATCTTTGTATTGAGCATCAGGGGTCTGAGAAGGTGAGTATAAATTTGGGGAGTTGTTAGGGCTACTGGGGCTGGCTCCTGTTTAGAATTGATGCCAGGAGGGGGCTGAAGTAGTATTGGGGGAGAAGAAGTGACCTGCAAATCATGCTTTCCTTAGACACTCTAGACCGGCTGTCCCCAAGAGCTTTGCATTCTCCCAATTTCACTGTAACAACTGGGTGAAACAGAGCTTTCATCTTGCAAATACATCAGGGGCTGTAAATCTACAAGCCTGTCCCTCAGCCCTCCAGGCAGTCCCAGGCAGCCCCAGCCCTGAAGGCAGTGTTCTCTCTCCCAGCCAGGAGCATTCTTTATGTCCTTGTTCAATTATTTAAATATGCTATGAAGCCTCTGCCCAAAGGAGCCACTGGCAAGCTGGACAAAGTGGATGGAAAGGCAGCTCCATGGCTTTCCTACATTGCCTTTGCTCCCGGCACTCGGTAACCCACCCTCATTTGTGTGCATTTAAGTGAACACTGCAATATACAAGGGGCCAGCCTGTGGACCCGGAATCATCCGGATCCACCTCCAGAATTTCAAGCTATTAAATATTTGCTTGTGCCTCAAGCCACTGTCCCTCCATATCTTTGGTCTATTCTTACAACTGTAGAATGTAGCCACAGGGTGAAACAGCCTCC